AATGAGGCGTTTTTTCTTCTTTCTTCTTCTTTTGCCTGCTTGACCACGTCGCTGGTGAGTATGCGGGCCAAGAGCGAGCGCATGGCGCGTAGATGGGGTATAGACACGGGCGGACTCGGGACAGGGGGGGGGATTCCTTGTAGAGGCTTTCACACGCAGCGTGGCTTGTCGAGCGAGTATAGACGGGTCGTCGTACGGAGATTCAGTACGGTGTAGGGCTGTGGTGATGACTTGCAGATTTGCTCCGCGGCGTCGCTTAGCAAGCGAAGGTTGATGTGTGTTGCCGATTTTTACTGTCGCGCGCGTTTTGGGTACATGCCTGGTCTTCGATGAGCTCAGCGTGGGAGTTGGGACTTTGCCGCGGAGCGCCTGGAAGCTGGGAATGTTGGGTTTGGGGAAAGCAAGTGCGGCAGGGTTTGGCGAATGGATTGGTAGAGATGTACATGCTGAAGATATCTGCGCGATGGTTTGCAGTATGTGGTTGTCGCTCTTGGCTAGATGCATATACAGGATTTGAATACTGCAGAAGAGATTCAAATATGCTCCTTCGCGTCTCGTCTCACCTCTCAGTTGTTTTGATAGCATAATATCTAGTGTGTTTGCAACAATCTACTCGTGTCTTCAAGGCTTCTACAATTCGTGTAGTCTGCTCGTAGTGCTTAGGACTTATAGTTCAACCAGGGAATTTCAAGGAAGGAAAGCTCTTCACATCTGTATCCTACTAGATAACCTAACTTACACAAATGTATACGCACGGTTGCTGCAATTATTACAAGATTAACACCCAAGCAACGAAGAAAAGACGGATAAGAAGCCGCAAAGTAGCAAAAGAAGCAAGATCGGAGTGCTTAATAAGAACTAGAGCAAGCGCGTAAGTCGCGAGACTTAGCTCTCGTGTCTTTTAAAGGAAACAACAATGCACAAGAACACAAACAAATCTAAGAAGAACTTATTGCTTCTCCGAGCAGGCAAGCTCTTGTGTTGACGATACTTCTCTTTTCGAGCAGGTCGCGCATACATCTCGTTACCTTCCCTCACCACTTCAGCGTAGTTCAACTTGATTAAGTGCTACAAGAAAGCATATATAGACATTTAAGCGATCAGATGCGCGATCAGATGCGCGAACATCTTGTCAGTCATATTTAGAGCTTGTGGTTAAGCGGATAGTAGGTTAGTAAGATTGTAGAACGAGGATATGACAATTTTGAGGCAGTTTTCCCGTACATATTAAAAATCGGTGTTAGCAGCCCGAAGTGTGTGTGTGAGATATACATCGAGTCCGACACTTTAAATAAATCTGTCGTCACTCACAGAATCTGCCCAAATCCCTCACTATATCTCTCTATCCCAATTCCTTTGCTCTATTAGAGTAGCACAACTAACTCCTGCTTTCCTAGCTCGTCCCTAGCTCTTCACCACCCTCTTAATCTCCTCTTCTCACTCTCTCTGCTTCTTCTTTAATAAAAGCCTGTTAACACACATCCTCTCTAGTAAATCATCTTACTTCATCTCCCCATTTCAGATACTCTACAAGCGCACGCAAACTAGTCGCTATCGCACCCTTCGATCTCGTAACATCGCCCGCATAGCTTCGAGCGCAAAGATAAGAAGATAGCGCTTTACTCTCTACCTTTCCAAATGTCATTCTGCAGAGTAAACTTCCATTTTACCCAATAGTACTGCAATAACGCAGAGCGAAACCACTCACTCACAACTTCCCTAACATCGACGACCCAGACGAAGAGACGGGACACTCTCGCAGATGAGAGAAGTCGTAAGTATAATATACTAGAGAGTAGAAGATTAGGCATTGTAATAGAAGGAGCGGGGTTGTACTATAGATAACGGTAGCATTAACACGGAAAAGAATAACTATACATGCGAGGCAAGACAGTGTAGTTGTAGCAGCAGACGGCTAGAGAAGAGCTTAGTGTTACAGTGTAAGCTCCACTTCGTAGGCTTCTCGAGGTTATTCCGATGTTTTTTAGAACGTCTAGCTCGGCTAGATATATTGTATGTTTGTTCTGAGATTGCACGCGGACGAGGAAAAAGATCAATAATAGAGCTAGCACGTCACGGGCAGAATAAGAAGTCTAACTAATCTGTAACGAGTACTAAAGACGGTAGGGTTATCATGAGAGATGTGTAAGTTGGATCTCGCCGCTCCGGCAGTAAACATACTAGAAGCTGCTGTAACCAAACCATCACAGCTGCTCTACAATAGTAGCCTTCCTGAATTTGCTGGTGTATGTGACTTTGAATGCACGCAGGTCTATTCGAGGAACTGACATGAGACGAAGAAAGTGGAGTCTAGCGGGTGTTAATTGGCAGTTCTCAATGTACTGGTCTAGTCAAGCCTGGCAGGACTAACATATGAGGTGGTAAACAGGCTTGAGGGTGCGGGTGAGTACCTTGGTGACGATGGCGAAGACGATGCTATCGTCTAGTTGTTATACCAGAAGAATACAAGTGCCTGCTTGGTGTTAAAAAGAGGGAAGAAGCTCGTCCGTACTCAATGTACCCGTCACTGGAAACATTGAACAAAGGAATATGTGGTGTCATTATCAAAGAAGAGTAAAGTTCGTAGTAATGTGTTGTTGTTTGGGAGTAGCTACCCAATAAGAAAGAGCTTCATGGTATGAATATAACTCTAACAGCTATCCGCAGCTGTCAAATGCGACGTTAAGCATGGTCCCAATGCATTACAATCTGTGCGTTGCAATCTGCACGCCTGGTGGAGCCACGAAACCAGACCCATTCCACCCACATCGAACGAACAAGTCCACGTGCCATATATGCAGCGCACCATCACACACGTACGGGCGTTGAGGCAACTGAGAGCACGCGGTGGTGTGACCCAATCCCAACGTCCATGCGTAACGCATGCCATGTTGCCAAAAAGGCTGTCCAGGCGGTACGTCATTGACCACGTACGTTTGGCCGTTCCAGACATACTAAAATCCTAGACTGAAAAACGCATCTCGCGTCGTTTGGAACCCGGGAGCAGTGTCGAAAGTTACCGCTGCAGAGCGGCAAGCATCCAGCTGCGCAGGAGTGAAAAACCATGCAATTCGCGCATCTTGGTAAACGCCATACGCCAAGTAAGCGCCATGCGCCTAGTATGCGCTCCTCCAGTATTTCTTCTAGTATGCGTTTTGAGGCACCTGGTAGCCGCCCATCTGCGCTTGTTGGGCCTGCGCGTGTGCCTGTGCTTGAGCCTGCATCTGCATCTCCTGCTGCCGTTGTGGGAGATCGTTGAACCATGGATGTGACAGCGCGTTAGCAGCCGATATGCGCATCTCTGGCCGCAGCTGCAGCATGCAGTTGAGTAGACTAAGCCCCACCTGGTCGACCTGTGGCAGTATGAGACGCAGGTCCTGGGTGTGGTATACGGGGAAGTTGTTCTTGTACTCTGGCAGCTGCGAGATGCCTGGCCATGATCGTTCAGACGGTGTGCCCATCAGCCGGAAGATCTTCTGCACTTGGTCCTCGTTGGTGGTTCCGGGGAACAGCGGCCGCCCAGTGTACATCTCGGCCATGATGCAGCCTGCTGACCATATGTCGATGCTGGTGTTGTAGGTCCGGCTGCCGAGCAGGACATCGGGGGCGCGGTACCACAGGGTTACGACTTCGTTGGAGAAGGTGTTGACTGGAATGCCGAAGGCGCGAGCGAGACCGAAATCGGCCAGCTTCAACTGGCCACGGTTGTTGATCAGAAGGTTCTGGGGCTTCAGGTCGCGGTGGAGGACGCGGGCTTCGTGGCAGAAGGCGATTCCCTTAAGCAGCTGGTACATGAAGGACTTGATGGTGGCGGGGTCCAGAGCACCACGGTCGCCGCGCGAGTCCATGTATCGCTTGAGGTCCTTGTCCATGAATTCAAAGACGAGCATGAGCTTGTTCTCGGTATGTATGACGTCGTGCAGCAGGACGATGTTCTCGTGGCGTAGTTCCTTCATGAGAGAAATCTCGCGGATAGCCGTCGAGGGCGTGCCTTCCTCCGAGTCGAGGTGGATCTCCTTGAGGGCTACGAGTTCGCCCGTCTGGCGATTTCTACCCTTGAAGACCTGGGCACATTAGCACACAGTATAGCCGACATGGCGCTCCTGCCTACCGTGGCATAGGTGCCCTCGCCGAGCTTCTCGAGCTGCTGGAAGGAGCTGGGGTGGCGGCGGTTGTCCATGGTAGGCACGATGGGCTGTGTGTAGCCGTCGCCGAGGTTGCGGACGCTGATGGACGAGTCGGTGCGGTGCGGGGCGACAAGCGTGCCGGCGTGGACGGGCTGGAGACTGCCCGGGGGCGCTCGCGAGGTGAACTTGGGGTCCCAGAGGATGGCCGAGGCGGTTGTGAGCTGGCTGGCGATGCGCAGAGGCGAGGGCGGCTTTGGGGGCTTGTCGGGGGCTGGGGCTGGTGACGCCGTCGTGGTGAGCGAGGGGGGTGATGATTAAATAAAAGGGTCCAGTCGCGAGAACAGCAGGGCAGGGGATCTTCGTCGGCGCTTGGGTGGAGAATGACTGTTGCACGAGTCCACGGGTGGGATGTGAGTGGGTTTGGTGGGGCGAGAGTAGCCGCCTGCCTTTGCGCTATGCCCGCCAAACTTCTGCCTTCAGCCACGGGCTTTGTTCTTCATCAAATTGACTGCTATTTCTGGATGCACTCATCAAACGCATTGCTTTGGAGCACTCTTACTGGACACTAGAGCCTCAAGCCAGGAATGACTACAATCACGATATCAGCTGTTACAGAAATGCAGAGACCATAGACATGGTTGATGCCGCTTGCATTCACACACACGCGAGACTTCGCACTGCAGCTAGACATTGAACGATAAACTACGACACACACTTATTCATTACAGCTTCCACCACGTCGCTGCAATACACGCATGATATGCCGAGTATCGTGTCGTACACGCGTCCGATCAGCCAACACTCCTGGAAGAACGCATACAATCCGTCTCTACGTATCCTCCTGTAAGACGACTCAACTGCACATCGCACAGCATGCCGCAATGGGTGACAGATTGTCTGCACGCAAATTTTGGTGCTTATTTCCAATATAGCCAAAGACTCCTGAATGGTTGGTGATACCGTACGCGCAAGCTACTTGGAATGAATGGGGCGTGGTCAGCCTCGCAACTGTAGCCTTCTGACCGGTAAGGGTATTTAATGCTCTAGATTCTCAGGACATGAGGAGCTCCTCAGTACGATCTCAAGCACCTTACTGAACCAGCAGCAAATCACGTGTATATCAGTCCAAGACGACGCTCGAGCAGACAAACAATACGGTTGACAGCAAGAGAAGAAGATCGACATCCGCAAATCTGATCGTCAGAACGAAACAGCGAATATGGAGAATGATCTTATGAACACTTCGACATCCATAGGACCAGGGTTCTTCGGAGACATGGCGAAAATTTCCGAACATGCCTTCGAGCGAGCGGATGCTCGACATTGGGCGTCAAGGCGCATTCGCTTCTTGGTTTATGATGACTCAGATGTCAAACTCGACGATTTTGACAGCGACGACGAAGAGGGAAAGGAGGAGTACGCTATAAACATGAGTCTTGGAAATCACAAAGCCCAAGACCCAGAAGGAGGTGGCGAGGTTCCAAATGCAAAGGGAGGCAGTGTCGCTGAACACTCAGAACAAGCCAACAAATCCACACAAACTAAATGCCGCGTTTGCGCATCATATCCCGAGTTTCCGCACAGGTGGAAGCCTAGAAAGTTCCGTCTGGTCAATCCGGTGGTTGATCATCCGGAATGGTTCAGTGGGAACGGCGTCAGCTCGCGCGACATATGCATACATTATGTAGCGGTGTCATACTGCTGGCCTCCTCGTGGAGAGAACCCGACTCCGAGAACCTACACGGTCCGTGATCTCGACGGACGCGTCCGCGCCAGTCGCGCTCTCGACGATGTTCTAGATCGTGCCGTGGACTTTGCCACTTCATACGGCTTCCGCATGATATGGATCGATCAAGAGTGTCTCCCTCAACCGACTGAAACCAGTTCCAAAGAAGACTGGGAGGAGCAAGAGCTCGGGATACAGTCGATGGACATTGTGTATAACAGAGCCGTCGTCACGGCGGGTCTACTCGACGTCGAGATCACATCGCAGGAGCAACTTACAGCCGTTGAGTCTTTGCTGTATCCTGGCCGAACAGGGAAGCGAAGCGTAATAGATCGCCGCTTCTGCGAACAAATCCTCGATTTCCTTCATCGAACCAGTCAAGACCGGTGGTACACCCGTGCGTGGGTTGTTCAAGAGTCGATTTGTGCTGGGAATGGACTGATGCTGGCTTTCCGGCGCGGCCAAGGGATTACTTTCCAATCCAGCTTTCGGTTTGGGCGAGCGGAGGGAGAAGATCTTCGTCCCTACCATTCGCTCGACGATAATCGTGGAAGCTGGGAGTCAAAGCTCGTCTGCATACACTTGCGTGGATTCTGGCGTATTCTCGACCAGATGCGATCTCTGCTTACACGCGACTTTGTTCATATGGGAAACTATCTTGCCAGATCTGGGCTCGGATCAGAAGAAGTCTATCCGGGAGCTCGATCTGTGCTGGAAGTAGCAGACCGCCTCCATCCAAGAACCGAGAAAGCAAACACAATCAATCAGATCGTGCAGGCTCACACCGAGGGGTTCTACGGAAAGCGTCCTACGATCAACGCTGCGGGAGCTCCGACACTGCTGAAGCATCGCGAATGTTACTTCAATGCTGACAGACTTGCTATCAAAGCGAACATGTGCGATTACGACTTCCGACTGGACACAAGGAAAGTCAACGCCAATTGCCACTCACTGCGTCTAGCTATATTGGCATTGGCGTTGAGTAATGGCGACCTGTCCTTGCTAGTACCAGAGGCATATCTACCTGAGGGCCACGAAGACCAAGGAGATATCTACGCTGGAAGTGCATCGAGCTCGAACTTGTTCCAGAACATCTTCCTGGAGGCTCATCGGATTGAATACTGTGAAGTTCGCGACTACATCAATATACGACTCCAAACAAGCAGACAAGGCCGATTCACTGCCGAAGGAATGCTCCTCCATTCGTATCTCTGGTCCGTGGAACGCGACATCGACTTTTCACCCATCCAAGCAGAGTGGGCCGATACATGGGAATCCTACAAATGCTGGGTCATACTGTTTGAGCGGCAGAAAGACGAGACAGTGGAACAAGCTCGTGCGCGTCAAGTAGCATTCCTCCAGCGCTTCAACCAACCGAATGTAGCCACGCAGGCTCGTCAGGATTTCCGCCGTTGGGGCCACATCCCAAATGAATCGTCTGTGTGGGGAAACCTCGATCACGCTGGAATACAAGTAAAACGAAAACTCGATGCGAAGCGCGTCCAGCAAGTCCCCGAAATGCGTGACACAATCGCTCAGATTGTCTTTAGCATTCTCCGCTACATCAGGTACACGCTGGCCGCACCCGAGGAAGAAGGAGAATTAATGAAGGGACTGGCCAACAGCATATGGCACTCCGTTCGAACGGATCAAGTCCCAGACTCACAGCACCAACTCCCAGATGAAGTCGACGACACGCTCTTCGCCCACCCGGATGTTGCAAACCGCCCGTTTGCCACCTTACAGCTCGACGAGACGCTCGAAGCGAGCCTCGCGCAGTTATGGTTCATCGACCGCATAATGCAGCACGGCCGCCTCTGGTGCGGAACCTACACGCCACCCAAACAACCAGCCCGTCTTACCTCACCTCCAGACTCACACCTTAAGACCACGTTCGAAGAAGACCTCCAAGCACACAACGACCAACTATCCGCCATCCCATCATCCATGCGGTCCGTTGTAAGCCGTCAACTTGCCCGCCAGTTCCTCACCGTAGCCATCGAGAGCGATCTTGCGAAGAATGGCAAAATGGGGGGTACGCGCCACACTATGGTTACGTACCCGGAGATTCTGCGGAGGGATCTATGGTCTGATCGGAAAGAGAGGTTGCGGGAGAGGACGCTGTTGGCGGCTTTTGATGTGGATGGGCCGTGTCTGGTGGCTACGCCGTATGATCCAGAACGCGAGGTGTTGCCAAGGCCGAAGCTTAGGAGCACGAGTACGTGCTGGGTTGTTGAAGTCAAGGAAGATGGCGGCGGTGCTGTAGGTATGTGTGCTGGGGTGGAGGACGACGCTCCTGGTGTAATGGGTTCTGACGCTGCGGACGGAACGGGAGCTGGAGGGAAGGGCAAGGAAAGAGCAGCGGATGACTCATCCGAAACTGAACCTGACATGGAAACTGATGATGCAAAGGCCAGGAAACTTCTGGACAGACGGGATCTGGACTTGCGTGTGCTGAGGAAAGTGAAAGGGCTGTGGTGGATTATGGATCTACCTTCTCAAGTGTATCTGTTTAGTTAGTTGGCTTTGGGATTGAAGACAGATCTTGTCTCTAGATCACATCACGAACGCAAACAGCCGACGACGGCATTACGAGTAGTCGATTAACTTCTGCATTACCTATGTGTGATTCCAGATCATCCATTCCCGAGCGAAAAGAACGCTCGTCTCTTCTCCCTAGCTTCCTGCTCCGAAGACGTGCCTTCGTTCTTGGGTCGTCCGCGCTTCCCCTTCTTGGATATCGTCTTGGAGACACTAGACTGCTTCTCGAAAGCTGGCGGCGGGGGCGGCAGCGGTGTTGTAGATTTGACAACTTCCTTGATAGTCTGTTTCGAGAGGCAAAAGTCTATATGTGCATTGAAGCTTGCATCATCGGGCGCCTGCGGGATGGAGCAAATAGGACACTGCCACTGTGGTTCGGCTGGCAGCTGTTCATCCTGCTGTTGCTCCTGTTCCTGAGACAGCTTCTCTAGTTCGTTCATTTCGTTGTTTCGTTCTTGTCGTGCGGCTTCTTCGAACTCTTCCTCGGGCCATGTCTCCCATGCTCCTTCGTCTTTGGAGGCGGGAGTCTTAGTGGTAGTGGTTGAAGATGTTTTCGCTGCGCGACCGAAGAAGTCGATTCCAGGCTTCTTCGTGCTGATGATGTGCGTAGCTCGTAAACCCATTAAGCGTAGTTTCATGTTCGGTATCTCTTTCATGAGCTTCTCGAGCATCGGTAGACTGTACTTGAAGAGGTCGTCTGCTTTATGTATGGCAAAAGGCGGCGTTGTCTGTCGCGTGTGGACTTCGTAGGTGTGGAGCTTGATCTTGATGCAGAGCGTTCTTCCTTTGTACTCGGTGCGTTTGAGATCCCCTTCTAATTCCTCAGCGATATGCCGAAGCTTGTCACGCAGGGCATCGCGACCCTGTAGCTCTCTGAAGGTAGTTTCAGTGCCGACGCTCTTGCGTTCATGGTCTTCCGCTGGCTTGATGACAGTGCGCCCTAGGCCGAGATAGCACTGCATCAAGAATTGGAATGCTTTCTGCCCGAATAGCTTTGCCATGTACGCTCGATGTGCGTATATGTCTCCGCATGTCTTGACGCCTATGGCATCCAGCTCTCGTTCGAAGACGCGACCGATACCATTGACCTTTCGCGTAGGCAGGGTCTTCATGAACTCCATGATCGTCTGCCTGTCGCTGGCAAGCAGGAACTGCCCGTTTGGCTTGTTCTGATTTGAGCAAATCTTGGCGAGTTTAGCATTGGCGGCGATGCCAGCGGAGACGGTGATCTTGGCTCTTTCAAAGACGTCTGCGCGCAGCTGGCTCACAGCTTCCTCGGGTGTCATGTGGTGCTCCTGGCAGTATTCTGTCAGATTGAGGTATGCCTCGTCGCAACTCGCACTTTGGTAGTCAGGATCGTATAGCGCCAGTACTTCGCGGACCTCTTCGGCCTTGGCCATGTATTTCGTAAAATTCATAGGAACGCAGATGAGCTGCGGACACAGCTTCATGGCGACAAACCCAGCCATACCGGAGCGACAGCCGAACTTGCGTGCATGGTAATTGCAGGTCGTCAGCACGCCCTTGCCGACGGCGAACGGAACGTCTTTCAGTTCCGGGCGATCTAGCTCTTCGACTGCCGCGTAGAAAGCATCGCAGTCGAGGTGTACGATCACCTGGCTCAGGTCCCTGCTCAGCTCCAGCTCTGCGATGTAGTCATCGGCTCTTCGCTGGTCGGAGGTCAAGTCGATCTTCTCCAGCTGGCGTCTCTTCTCCAGGATCTTGTTGATCTTCTCGGTAAGGTTCTTGTCCTTGACCTCCTCATTATTGAAGAACTTGGAGCCCTTGGACGCGTTGTAGATGACCTCAGAGACCTTCGATTGGTCTACACTGTCTTGGCCAGCTTTGGTGAGCGATGGGCCGAGGAGGTGGTACTTTAGGGAGTCGTGCTCGGTGGACGTGGTTCGGGCAGGCTGCGGCCGCTCTGGTATATCTCGGGAGGCTTCATCTCCTTTGGCGGTGGTCATGGTGGTTGTGGTGGCCACTCGAGGCAGGTCGGACGCGTCGTGACTACGGTGACTCGGTGCATGCCGGGGCACGTGTGCGCGACGGGGCTGCGCGCATGATGGTGGTGAATGGGCGGACCCTGCATCGCTCATGGTAAGTGGGGGGTCATTTTGTGAGGGCGACAGGAGGCCCCATAAAAACGCGAGATGAGGCCCTCTCGAGGTCATGACGCGCTTTCACGTCTACTCCTGACAGGGCCTAGCGGCGTTTGAAACCCTCCGGGATCACTCAGGGCCACCAAAGTTACTTCATCTCGCACCAACACAGACGCCTCCCCACCTGAACCCTTCTCCTGCTCCTGTCTGGCCCCCGACCATGGACTGGACGCCAACCATCTGCACTCCTCCACCGCTGGCATTGTAGAAGTGGGGCAATACACGTAGAGCGCCGTGCTGTATGACCTGCAGACATCCGACACGCTACTAGCGTCCATCAACACACCATCGTCAACACCGCCATTACCCCCCGAGCCGCGCCCATTGCCCCCCGGCAAGGCCATGATCTCCCTCCGCATCCGCAGTATAACACCACAACTATAGCCGCACTCACCAGAGGATGCCCATCGAACGAACCGACCGAAATAACCCACGGCCGCTGAAGCCGACGCTCGCCAGCACCCGAACCGCCGCGAAGACGCCCTTGACCCCGAGACTTGCCGTTGCGCCCACCGCCTCCTCCACCGTCAGCTCCTCGAGCACCCGCACCGCCCGCACCAGCAATGGCACCACGCCCAAGGTTGCGGCCCCGGCGCCCTCGCACAACGACGTGACGCCCATCAAGCCCTTCCTGAGCAGCAATGTCACGCCTCGCTCCTCCACGAGGAAGTCACGGGTCGGCGTAGACAGCGCTTCGTCTACGCCCAGCGGTACCCCCTCTGTTACCCCGAGCAGCTCGCGACCAGGCTCCACGGTAGACCACCACGCCAGGGAGCAGACTGGCGGATTCAGCGGGCACAGCGCTGTTGGAAGGAGCGGTTCATCAGCGGTAGGGGGGCGACCGCGCAGCACACCGGGACCAAGCAGCAGCCATGTCACGCCGACCCCGAGGCCCTCGCTCTCCATGTACAATACCGCTCCGTCCGACGCTGGCAGGAAAGACGCTTCATCCCTGTTCTTCCATGCCAACGACGCACGTCCGCACGAACAACCAGCACCGGTACTGGCACCCACGAAGAAGGCGCCTGCATTCTTCTATGCCGACGGAAGACAGGATGAGCCCCCTGCGAAGCCCACCGTACCATCGCCACCGCTGTCGTCCCTAGGGAGATCCCAACCCGAGAGCAAGTTCTTCCATGCCGATTCCCAACCCGAAAGCAAGTTCTTCCACGCCGACTCCCTTTCCGAGAGAAAAGACCGTCAGCCGATTCTCACTCCGCCGCCTCCTACATCTCCAGATCTGCTCCCGCCCTTAGAAGGCGGACAAGGGGGGTCGCTTCGCCCGCCTTCGCCTACAAAGGACTTTGCACATCTCTCATATCGCAAGGGAGCCTCTCAGGTCCGGCCAGCCCTCAGTAGAGGCAGTTCAGGAAACTCCGCTCTCGCCATGTTGACTGGATCGAACACGCCAGATGTGTCTGATGGCCCCAGACGGAGATCTAGCGTCGCCTCCACTATAAAGCGAGGGCATGTCAAGAGCTCCAGTCTGTCGTCCATCGACTCTGTGACGAGTGCGAAGAAGGCATCGACTAATGAACCATCCGCCATGCAGCCAAGCCCACTTCAGACTGAGAATCGTGCCTCCCTCCCCGATGATGCAGCACCTACGCCCGCTCGTCGCTACACCGCATTCTCCCCTGTTGGATCCCCGGTATCAGCAAGTCCAACGCGAGACAGCAAGAGGAACAGTGATAGCAAGAGCGCACTCGAGATGATGAACGAACTTGCTGCCAATGCACGAAGGGAGCGTAAAGTGCTTGACCTCGAAATCAGCAACTCTTCGCTCCTCGCCATCAACCGGTCATTGGAAAAGGAGGTCCGAAAGCAAAAGGCGGAGCTTAGACGCTTCCGTCGCATGAGCCGAGCTGGGCACTTCTCTGCTGATATGGCTAGCTCGCCTCCTGAAATTTCTGCCATTGGCTCTGGAAATATAGGGGACCTGTCGGACATGTCTGAAGCAGAAGAGGAGGACGAAACACCTGAGGAGGAAGAGGAGGATCCAGAGGATAGCGAGTCTTCATTCGATGAGGGTGCTCTGAGCCCGAGCGCTCAGCTAGAGCGAGACGAAGCACACCGCTCACGTGACGAGAAGCGTCTCCAGCTCGACCTCTCCAAACATCGCGAGATGTTGAACGACAGCCAGAAGATGAACCAGAGCCTTAAGAAGTGTCTCGGGTGGACAGAACAGCTGATCAAAGACGGCCAGAAGGCGTTGGAGTACAAAGTGCACGTCAGCGATGTCAAGATTGGTGGCCGTGTGCTCGTTGCGGAAGACGACGACAACGATGCCGCCGAACCACAGGAATCTAGGGGTCTTCTCAGCCCCTGGAGTCCAATTCACAACGCCATCGACGCTCTAGACTCGCCTTTCTTCCCTCAATCCGATCGCGTCATCGACCGGGACAGCGGTATAGATCTCGAAGGTCTCGAACACATGGATCATCACAGCGATCACTCCCGAGCAGCATCGCCTACGGACGACGGACAAGATCAGTCTAGAAGTCCTGTCAAAGAATTCCGTCCCAAACTACCCGGTACATGGATTTCCTACGCAACGACCCGCGAGTCCGACCTAAAGAAACACGAGACCCTCAGTCCCCTTGGCTCCCCCTTCGAAGAACGGATCAGATACCTCCACGCGTCGATTGACGCTCTGGAAGCATCTTCATAACCACACACGCATACATACGCACGCACGCACAGCTCACACTTATCTCTCTCTTGCTTTACCAGCTTTGCACATACCCACCTTTTCTTCTTACTTCATCTTGCAGCATGCATAGGGCACCACGGCGTTACACCATAAAGGACATTTTGCATTTTCCACCTTACTTCCAAACCGGCGCACAACGGCACAATGCGTCGAATGCGATTTCGACGCCCCCCACGACCGTTTCCTTTGTTTTTCTTTTCCACTTTCTCTCACGGCCGCCAACATATATACATACATACTCTCGTTCAACTCCAATAATGTTTTTGAATCTACGGCCTACGTCAACAATCTTGGAAAAGATCTTGTCGTCTGGCTGTTTTTACTTGGGCTCGTGTCTACGCGTGTTGTGTGCACAAAGTCAGTTCGGTTTTTATGATACCCCCCACAACTACTACTACTCAGTTGCGAGAGAGAGAGAGAGTTTTTATATAAGAAATCTTTACATAGCCAATATACGTCGCTTTTACACTTTGGAAGAACCTTGTTGGGATTTAGTGTTGCATGCGCTTGACGGTTATTGGGATGAGGTCGTTTCAACGCGTTACGTCGCTTGACTTTTGGTTCAGCACACACTTGAGTACGACACTTTACTCGATCACATGACCGTCTCTCCTGTTAATCCCGCAATAGATTACTCCAGCGTGCGCAGGATGAGAACAACATCGAGTCGAATATCGACCAGAGAGAAGAATGAAGAACATGTGCTTCCATTAAGGCATGGTAAGAACCCGGTCTATGTATAAACCTCTCTAGTGAAATCCATTAATCCGTCATGCACCCCTCTATCGAGGTGAGAAATTCGTTAGCACAGAAGCCAGCCTTGATCTACGGGTATCAGAGCAAAGAAAGAGCAGTGGAAAGAGTAATGAAGAAATGACGATGATCTAAGCCCAGTAACCGAGCAGAGCCATCAAACCTGATATTACGTTAGTATAAAGTCGATAGTATGGGGCACGGACAAGACTTACCAGCACCAAGAACCATAAGACCAAACGCCTTGAGCGTCCTACTAACAGGTCCCTTCTGCATATACGGACTAAACATAAACTCATGCGCCATAAGCTCCACAAGACCCGTGTAAATCAGAATACCAGCAGAGATGGAATCGAAAACACCATTCGTCAACAGCGTAGTCCTGCTCTCAGGCGCAAAGGACTGGCGCACGCCCAGACCAATAGCAATGGCAATGGGGGTCGAGATACCGTAGCCGAGACCAAGGAAGTACGGGGTCCAGCGCTTGGACGCGGGCCAGGGGACTTCCGCAAGACGGGTTCCCAGACCGAGGCCTTCGAACATTTGGTGGAAGACGAGGACGATGTAGAGGGTGATGAATTCCTCGCCGGCGACGGCAAGGGTGAGGCCGATGAAGATGGAGTGGAAGATGACACCGAATTCGAGGATGAAGACGGCGGTTAGTTGCGAGGCGTAGCCGTCTGGGACGAGGGGACGGGGGGCCATGTCGGACTTCAGCTCGGCTTCATGGTCGCGTTGGTGGCCGAGGTGGTCGTCGCCGCGGATGTTGTGGTTGCCGCTGCTGCCTCCGGTGCTGCCTTCGAGGTCGTGGGCTTTGTCGTCAGCGTGGGCGGCTGGGGAGATGCCAGTGGGTTCGTGGCTGTGGCTGTGGTCGTGGTCGCTGCCGAACTTGGCGTAGCGCATTGTCATGAGCTCGAGGAAGAACATGAGAAAGAGCGTCATCAGGGCGATGCCCTCGGGCCAAGGGTACTTGGCAATAACACCGGTCAGACATTCGTTACCGAGAGCCTCGTTTGCTGGGGCCAGGAGATGGATGAATGCCGTTGTGATGATGACGCCTGAACCGAAGTACTTGGCGGCGAAGAAGACCCAGTTGGGGACCAGCTTGCTACGGGAACGTCTTGCTAGGACGGGGAACATGGCACCTGTGCGATGTTAGCATGCGAAGATCGGCATGGTTTCTTGTACACACCGAAGCTGGATGCTACCAGGATGACGAAGATGGATGAGATACGGGTGCCCATGCGGCCATCGTACTCGTTGTCGCCGCCGCAGGTGATGACCTCCTCAGGTTGTGACTCTGCGCCGTCATCTTGACGGAGGACGAGACGTGCAATATCGAGGGCGGTAGAAGCCATGTTGGTGTATAGAACGCTGGCAACTGAGTGAAGAGTAGTGATAGCACGGAATGTCCGTTTGATACAAATTTAGACAAGATGTACTTTAATATTGTCGATCTCTGGTTGGCGTGGACCCGAGTGACCCAGATGTTTGGTAATGGTTCAGTGGAGAAGCAACCCTTGGGAGAAGCTTGGTTCGGCTGGGCGTGTCTTGTGCAGTCTTGGGTAACAACAAGCACTATATATTGGATCCTTTGAACGCAATCAAGCACCCTGATGGACAGATGGAAATGCTTGACGGTGCTTTGATGGGTCTTCAGGAAGGATTCACGGAGTACGGAACTGGTTGGACGTGTGAAGGCGGGCGATATACCAGAAGGGTCTTACTCAGAGTACCCTGATGGCACGCTAAGGGCAAATATTCCACTGGTGCATAGCTTGCAGAGCCTATGGGGTCCAGTATAGCTGTCACCCGTGGGGGGAGGCGTATGTAAAGTGCCTTCGAGAGCGCGCTGAACGTGGGACTTTTTCAATCATGGTGTTGGTGTGGCATGTGCGACGCTGCGGTTGTTACGATGCGGCGAACGTGCGTTCAGTAGTAGTCAGCCGCAATCCTAGGCCCGATTCCACTTACTTGAGCTAGGACCTGCCGAAACCTCAACAGGCCCACGTCTACATCAATCTCTGAAGCCGCATTGCCGCATGCCTCGACCGAGGGACATGAAGGCGGCAGCGCGATGCCCGTATTACACGACCTGGGCCTTCGTTCAAATACGAGACGGGCTGGAATAGACGCAGTGGTTCAAAGACAAGAGTGTCTGGTCACCGGCGTCGCGCGGTACTGCAGGATGCGGTGCATCTACTGCAGACACTGATGGAAGATACTGGCCGCGTTCCTGGCTGGAATGAAAAGTTGAAGTCGCTAGCTTGCGCGCATTCAATGCTGAACTTGAAGTGCAACGGCGCAATCATTCCGACTCTTCCGAATTCCGAATGACAGTTCCTTACGATGCAGGCGCCCAGATCAGAAGGTACGATCAAGCTGGCGCTTCGAAATTGCTGAAAGATCTTGAAGGGCAATTCCGAGCCGTGCCGGAACCTTGACAAAGAAGATTACCTTGACGACAGCCAAAAAGAGGAGGCGGGCTACGCGGTGGTGAGACTTACAAAGCCATCAAGTACCGAGCAGGTAGCCGACAAGGCCTGGCAGGCTTGCGCGAAGATCTATACATATTGGTGAAGCGGTGGAAATCTTCTGTTCAGCTGATGAGGCTGTCGCGATGTACCTGCTTGGCGCATTGCCAGATACAACGTACAAGGCTGTCGATCTACGCAAGTCGCAGTACCACTTGTAGCAGGTAGCTGCATCTAGGTTTGGCCGGCCGCGCTGATGTGAGGGTGTACAGGCGTATGCACTCCGCCTTCTCCGCACTGCCGCGTGATCCGGTGACATGTACCTAGGTATTGTCTCAACACATGAGGTGATGGACGGCGATGCGCGTCTACAATGAAGAGTCGTCTGGGATGCTGGCTATAAAGTGCAAAGCTATGCACTTCGGGCCGTTCGGCTGTCGAGTAGCTCTGGATGGTTGGTCCACATCACACCACCGTGAGGGGCTGTGGACTGACGGAATGTAAAACGCGCGCCAATGTACAGTGGGCGGGGTCGCGTCGCATATACTCGGAGTACAGCTCGATGGGCATGGCGATGTCAGCAAACTCGATAGAATCGAGGCGATCGTGGGACCCATCCATGAGACACATGCCGGCGCACGGAGGAGGAGATCGAAAAGTTAATACAATCGGTGGTACTGAAACCGGTTTGCCAGGGCTAGAATGGGAGCAGTGGGAGCTGCTGGGGGCGTGCACAGCGCGTTGCTGTGGGGAACATCCTGGACGGCTTGGCGTGATGAAGCACTGATGATGTACCAAAGTACCTCTCGCCAGCCAGCCCGCCCCACCCCACGAGAGCGCCCAATGTCGCAACCACATGGGCAGAGTGGGTGAATTGACAGCCAGCTTGACAGCGCTGCCATGATTACAACATGTTCGCGCAGCCGGCGGAGACCCTTATTCTGAAGCTCCAGGCGCAGAGCTGGCGTTGGCGCATCCTTGCTTCTCACGCAGGCCGTAGCGGGAACCAATCAATAGTGCATGCCGTGAGGGGCTATGACGTCTCGATTCCTGTTTCGTATAGCTCCTGCCGCAGCTCCAACAGGTGACCGCATAGCTGCCTAGCTTCTCCTCTTTATAACTCCGCCTCGTCTCACCCTCTTCCTGCTTCTCATTGTCAACTCTCCCATAGATCCCTCAGCACCAATTGTTGCTGTACAGGTCCCGGAGTCCCATCACAACACCAAACCGCCATCATGATTGAGGAAGTCTTGAAGAAGACCTCGGAGATGTTCCCGCTGCCCACCGCGACGGCCTCGTCGCTGCCTTCGGTTGCTCCCATCCCAACCGTCGCCCCCGGACCTGAGCCCACCTACGAGGTTGCCGGCGATGCTGGAATGAAGACCCTCTGGGTCGTCTTTGTTCTCATGCTGATCGCCTCTGCCGGTTTCACCGTCATGTCCTGGAAGGTGCCTTTGGTGAGTACCATCTGGAGCTACTCCAGACAGCAGATTCTAACACCCCCCAGAACAAGCGCCTCTACCATGTCATCACCACCATCATCACCCTCACCGCTGCCCTCTCTTACTTCGCCATGGCCTCCGGCGCTGGTGTCTCCCTCAAGAAGGAGGTCGAGCGCGAGCAGCACGACCACGTCCCCGACACCTACAATGTCGTCTACCGCCAGGTCTACTGGGCCCGTTACGTCGACTGGACCATCACCACCCCTCTCCTGCTCCTCGACCTCGGTCT